TACACGCAGAATTGCGCGAGAAAATTCGATCTAACGAATTTTTTTTTTTTGATGCATTATTTATGATCGCCAGTGTATAAAAAAAAAAAATTAGTAAGTTAAAAAGAAAAAAAAACCTCTCAAAAAAACTATTTATTATATATCTTACAAAATTCTGGTTTGAATCTTCACTACTTGGCATTTTAGCAAAGCCAACTTACAAAAGAAAAGAGATTCAACTCAAGCCAAGAAGAAAAAACAGAACAAAGAAAAAAAGCTACTTATCTTAGAGGCTATTCATAATTTACATTAAACAATGTATATAGTAAGGGTAATAACAGATATTATGTAATATCCTGAGAGGTCTTCAATATTTTATATTAGATATATAAATTTATAATAACCAATCAAAATTTCTCTTACGTGAAAGGTATTATTATGTAATATCTGTTACTACCTAAAAGTCTGTAAAAACAAAAAAATTAACAAAATTAACAATATCTTATGACCTAGTAATTCAAATTTAATGATTTTGGTGAAATATGGTGAAATAATTTCACCACTATTGGTGAAATTGGCAAAATTAATTTCACCAGCATCTATAATTTTGATATCATCCGAATCATATTAATAAGACAAATCGAATAGTACCAAAATCGTTAAATTCGAATTACTGAACCACAAGATATTTAATTTTAAAGATATTTTATAAACCCTTAACGATCTAGATATCTAGCAATCCAAATCTAATTATTTTGGTACTATTCGAATCGTCTAGATGAGACGGTCCAAAAACGTTAAACTTGGATCACTAGATCGTGAGATATTTGTAAAATACAAAAATTTAAAAAACTGCGCCACAAGTTTTTTATAAATATCTCGCGATCTAGTGATCTAAATTTAACGTTTTTAATACCATTCGAACCGTCTCGTTGAGACGAATCGAATAATACCAAAATCATTCGATTTAGGTCGCTAGATATCTAGATAGTTAAGGGTTTATGAAATATCAATATCTTGCGATCCAGTTCTAATTTAACAATTTTGATACCATTCTTTGTCTCGATGAGACGGTTCTAATTATGCAAATAACATTAAATTTGGCTTTCTTTTCTCCTCGCTCCCCTCAGCTCCAGCCAATGATGAATGCGCAAATTATATTCCTACAAAAAGATACCAAATCAAATAATGAATTTACAACTTTTATTTTTGCAAAAAAAAAAAAAATTTAAGAAATCGGGCGATTTTGTAAACCGCAATAAGCTTTAACATGATAATTAATAATAGTCTAACTATAATTTGATTTTAATAAACAAGTTTTTCGCACATATCAAATTATAAAGTTGAGTTGAAATCAAATTTAGGTGGGTACTGTGTGAAGAACCAGATATTGTATTTGGGGGATATATTATATTAAAATTAGTAAATCAATATACGTAGTTATATTCCCAGATCTTATTCAAGAACAGTTGGTAAAGATAATGCGAGGATAGTGTAAAGATAGTGAGTAATACCCGAATCTTAATCATGGGGGTATTATTTTTGGGAATACTGTAAGTAGTGGCCAACGATAACCGAAGAATCATCCATGGTCTACCTATTTTCGCAGATTCAAATGTTTGCGCAATATCGATATTGAATGATTTCTAAGATAATTATTTCATTTCAACCCTAAATCGAGACCATTATGAAAAAAAATAATTACTGATCGCCTATGACTGATTATTTCACTTAACTCGATTTAGGGAAATGATACACATAAGTGACCTGGAGATTTTTTTCAAAATGAAGAAATAAAATACGATACCGAACTATATTTTGTATAAATTTTATTGTAAGGATTTAATTTTACACGCTTTAATTTTAATACGTAGTAAAAAATTTGTGTCGGTCATTGCTGTGCCAATAAGACGTACGTGTTTGCTGTACCAGCTATTTTCGGATACATAGCTCTATTTTAGAAGCTATCCAAACCCTACGTGATGTCAAAGTTCTATAGGTTATTTTTTGGCATAGGCAAGTCTGAAAACTAGTTCAGGTACAGTTTGTTTTGGTCCAAGAGATCGGATCGGATACTGTGTGAGGTAAGTCTGAATACATGAGAACTTCTAAATTTTTTTCCAGATTTGTTGTGATGCTTGTAATGTTATATGATCTGCAGTTAGAGATGAACTGTTGTGCCCACCTTTTAAGATGTATTAGGTGGTATCAGAAAGTTGAATATAAGAGATGTTTGTTGTATCTGCTATTACTAGAGACTTCATTAATTTTTGTGCTGAGAGATTGTTGTCTATCTGGGTTAACAGCCACTGAGGTCCCATGTGGGTCCATCAGGATGAAGAGGTTGGGTGAAGAAAGGTTCAAAGGCCTCAGGAGTGGTGTATTGGGTGTGTCTTGTTCTCTTCTTTATCTTGAAAGTATATAAAATACTTAGGTGTCACCTCTGCTACTATTTGTGTTCTGTCCTTGCCCCGAAGGGCAGAAAGTTTTATTTACTTGACTGTATATGCTGCACAAATTTTAAATTTTGTTATGTCACTTGTTGTTTATGATTTTTTAAGATCTACGGGAAAGAGTTTTAGTATGAGAAAGTCATTTTTAATTATTCTCTTAGAAAGACAGTTTAGTTAACAAACTCCGAACATGTGAACACAAAGAATTTATATTACAGGTGTGTAGGCATTGGGAATGTTGCAAATGCGCAATTCTGCTATGATGCTATGTATTAATTTTATTCTTTCAAAACTTAGGGTTTGTTGAAAACTTTTACGTGTCAGCAGATTGAAGAATGTGAATTGAAGAGAAAATATGTATGTGTCTTTAGAACAATTATTATTACATCAAAAATTTACAGCCAATAGCGATTAAATCAGGTTGATATAGTCCACTAGAACATACTTCACAAAGACCCAATATAATATCATAAAGTGAATTATAGAATAACGATTTATTGTTTTATTGATAATTTGTAACACAAATGAAATCGAAAGATAATACAGACGATAATTTTGGTCTTAATGAACAGCCATCTCTTGATGTTGTAGAGATTAAGGTAAAAATAAATTTAAATGCTATTGTTTCTCGTTATATTCCATAAATTCATTACCCTAAATTTTAGCTGGACATGCTGTTCAATATATCGCTGATAATCAACCTGAAGAGACACCGATATCGACAACAATTGTATTTGAAGGATCAAATGTGATCGAAAAAATTAAGAAGATGGTGACTTCTGGACATGCTATGTCTCCATTACCAAAGTGTTTAGTAGAACTATATAATAGCAGTATGAATTATATAGAAATTGTCCAACAAGAAAACTAAATATTAAATAAAGTGATTATTAGTAACTACGTTTAATGTCAAGTCGAAAGGTTGATTCTATGCTCTAAATTCTTTAGCATGAAATTATAGATAATAGAAAAATTATCACTTGTGATATTTAATGTATATATTTTAAGGAAGGAACCTTATCTCTACATTTATTACGAATTTACTGTATAGTACAAGTTTACTGTTTACTTCCAAATATTACATATCAATTTTTATCTCGCAGTGCTCTTAATGACTAGTTCTTCTAATTTAGATTCTACGTCTTTTGATGAAAGATTATTTAGTACAACTTTTGTTTCTTTGCCAAAGTCTAATTTGAATAAAAAACGTATATTAGATACACTTAATCGAGTTAAAATAATAATTATGATGGTCTTTATTGTACAATCAATTACCGTATCTAGCGAAAAATCTTGCTTCCACTCCACTCGCTTCACGGATCAAAATTGGAAAATGTGGGTTTGCCGCCTTTAATGAGCTATAATTTTGGGCAATGAATTCTCTATGTATGCAAGAATTGATGAATAAGTCGAACCAATAATTCTAAACATTCTACAAGAAATAAAAATTAATTACCGACCTAACACCCTTACTTGCAGGAGAAGTTTGGCAAAAATGTACACGAAGTTCTTTAAGATTCTTTGATAATTGATTTCTCCATGTCATTGTTGGTTAACGGACGAGTTTGAATTTTATTATTCAGAGCGAAGTGGAGAACTCAATTTTTATGCGATTTGATAACGATATGCACTTTTTAATGGTCACACAATTTATTACATCTAAAATTTTATCACATGATTTTCATTCACTGCGTCTAAAATGATATTCTTCGAACAAAATTATTACTGAGATACGGACAAAATGGTAGTGTCGTTTATTGGTTTTTATCAATAAGGTGAAGCGGACAAATAATTGCTCTGTAAAATTATTTGCTTTCATTAAAGCAGATAGATATTAAAAAAGTCATACTTCCAATCAAATCTTCAAATGTAAAAAGCATTTATTGTCGCGGCTGATGCTGAAATTTTGACTTATTTTATTATGAAATTTTAAAAAATTTTCGGGCCTTTTCGTTAGGGTTTTTTTTTTAGTGTTAGGTTAGGGTTTGAGGGTAGAGTTGTTAGTAAAAAAGTATATGTGAATTTTAGTAGGTATTATAGATTTAAATTGGGACCCTAAATTTCAGCATCAGCCAATTTCAGCATCAGCTGCGACATGTATTAATCAATACATACATAACACACATATGGGCAGCCGCTATAGAAATCAAGCAAATCTACATTTGCTTGATTGCCCATATAGTTATAGCATTCGAAGAACCACTATCATCATAACGCAAAGTTATTTGGGCTTTTAATTGTAAAATATTTCAAAATTTGGGCTCTTATTTGTAATTATTTTCATTTTCGGGCCCTTATATGTAAATTCTCCCAAAAAATTCCTTGCGAAATTTTGACATAATAAAGTTATACTTAGATCATAATCCTAACTTTAACTTAAGTTTTTATTACTTTAATAATATTGCTCATATTCGATTGTTTTGATTATTTGTAGATCATTTTTTCACGGTCACAAAACATTGTACCGGTAATTTGTTGCGCAATTTACAGCTGGAATGATTTTTACCTTTCCACTCTATAAATATAGATTTACACCTGATTATTATATAAAGCGTTTCTACTTAAAGTATATATTTTATTTTGAATATTGGCTGCTAAGCATCCAAATGATCTTCCATTAAAGTGAAGTGATTAATACTATTCAAAAATATAATACCGTGCCGTGATGTCGTTATCCACTAATTTTCAAAAAACTTTTGAAATGTCTCTTATTACTCAAATAGTTTCTGAGGCAGAAGATTCTAAAGAAGTGTGTCAAATTGGTAAATGTTATCAATATGGAATTGGAGTTGAGAAAGATGAATATAAGGCATTCATTTATTATAAAAAATCAGCAGAAATGGGGAACGTTAATGGAATATTTAGTCTTGGTGACTGTTATCTTGATGGAATTGGGGTTGAAAAGGATGAATATAAGGCATTTATGTATTATCAAAAATCTGCAGAGATGGTGTTGGATATTGTTATCAAAATGGAATTGGAGTTGAAAAGGATGAACATACGGCATTCATTTATTATCAAAAATCTGCGGATATGGGAGACGCTGATGGAATATATAATGTTGGATATTGTTATCTTAATGGAATTGGTGTTGACAAAAATGAACATATGTCATTCATTTTTTATCAAAAATCTGCTGAGTTATGTAATGCTAGTGGAACATGTGAAGTTGGTCATTGTTATCGAGATGGAATTGGTGTTGAAAAGAACGAACACAAGGCATTTATTTATTATCAAAAATCTGCGGAGATGGGTGACGCTAATGGAATATATAACGTTGGTTGTTGCTATGACGAATGAATTGGTGTTGAAAAAGATGAACACAAGGCATTCATTTATTATCAAAAATCTGCAGAGATGGGGGACGCCAGTGGAATATTTGCACTCGGCAAATTTTATGAAGATGGTATTGGCGTTGAAAAAGATGAAGATAGGTGACGATAATGGGACATATTATGTTGGTGATTGTTGAGAAAGACGATCATAAAGCATTCATTTACTATCAAAAATCTGCAGAGATGGGGAATACTAGTGGAACATATACTGTTGGATATTGTTATCAAAATGGAATTGGAGTTGAGAAGGATGAATATAAAGCATTCATTTATTATCAAAGATCAGCAGATATGGGGGATGCTAGTGGAACATCGGCACTTAGCAATTGTTATAAAGATGGAATTGGGGTCGAAAAAGATGAATATAAAGCATTTATTTATTGTCAAAAATCAGCAGAAATGGGGTATGTAAGTGGGACATATAATGTTGGATATTGTTATTTTCATGGAATTGGAATTGAAAAGGACGAACATAAAGCATTCACATATTATCAAAAATCTGCGGAAATGGGAAACGCTAGTGGAATGTTTAGTCTTGGTGACTGCTATCTTGATGGAATTGGAGTCGAAAGGGATGAATATCAGGCATTCATTTGTTATCAAAAATCAGCAGAGATGGGATACGCTGGTGGATCATATTTGGTGGGTTATTGTTACCATGAAGGAATCGGTGTTGAAAAGGACGAATATGAGGCATTCATTTATTTTCAAAAATCAGCTGAGATGGGTAACGCTGCTGTAGCATATCAAGTTGCGCAATGTTATAGAGATAGAATTGGAACAGCAAGAGATATACAAAAGGCCAATGAATGGTACCAGATGTAAGTTACTTTATACTATCATTATTATGGTGTATATAAATTGTTTTTTTTAATAATTTATATTTAAAAAAATAAAAATAAAAAAAATATTTAGAGAACGAAAACAATTAATAGGCGATTAGTTATTACTTAAATATTTATTCTCAAGTGTACAGATTGGAACCAGTTTTATTTTTCATATGTTAAAAACCGTTTAACATATGAAAAATAAAACTGGTTCCAAACTCTAAATAAGTGATTTAAAACTTAACAATATCTTTCTTTAGTATCAAACAGGAGAACATATGAAAATTTAGACATTAATGATAATTTAAAACAAATACTAGCTGAAAGCGAGTATCCATTATCTTGGATTCCTTATAACGAATTTAAAAATATACAAAATTTAGGGTAAGGTGGGTTTGCTACAGTATATCATGCTATCTGAGCTAACCAAACTAGGCGCGCTAAAGTGCCTGTAGTACTTAAATTGCTTCGTAATTCAAAAGAAAATCATGAAGAGTTTATAAAAGAGGTAAATTAATTTATTGTATACATGTTTAAAAACTTAGCAACTTATATATTAACAATTTATTTTTAAAACTAAAGTTAAAAGCATATTGTGATATTGACAATAAAAATCCATCATTTTTAAGGTGCTATGGAATATCAAAAGATGATATCACTAAGAATTATATTCTTGTTATGCAAGTAGCAGCAATGGGCTCTTTGCGTAGTAATCTTGCCTTTGTAGTGCAAAATGAATGGAAGGATAAATTAAAATTATTGTATAGTATTGCCTCTGATCTTCAAATAATTCATTCTCAAAAACTTATTCACCGAGATTTACATATTGGTAATATTTTACTATCTAGTTTAAACAGTGCATATATTGGAGATTTAGAACTTACAATACCAATTAGCATAGATTCAAGAGTAGAAACTGATAGAATTTGTGGAATTCTACAGTATATAGCCCCTGAAGTTATTTATCTAGAAATTAAATAGAAAACCGTATAGCAAAGAGTCTGATATCTATTCATTTGGCATAATTATGTGGGAAATTTTATATGGAGTACCAGTGATTACAATTTATAATGTAATATGTACTGTATATATTTCGGCACTACCATATGTCAACTTGTTTAAGTATTAATAAAAGTCTGGGTAGGCACTACATCCTAATATTAAAAAAAAAAAAACTAATTGATTCTAACTTTATTTTCTAATAAATCTTGTTTAGCACACAAAAATACATTATGCTAGCATATTTAATTTTATATTTCTTAAAAAGTTAAAAGAAGATGCTTAATTTTAGATATTTTGATTAAAAAATCCAAAATTAAGCATCTTCTTTTAAATTTTCATGAAATATAAAATTAAATATATTTACATCATGTATTTTTGTGTGCTGAACAAGGCATAAAGTTATAATCAATTAGTAAAATTTCAATAATCATAATATTTTATATAATTTTATTAATAAAAATACTAAAAATGCCATGATTTTCAAAATTTTACTAATTGATTATAATTTTATACTCTAACAAACCTTATTTAGCACATAAAAATACATTATTCTGGTATATTTAATTTTATATTTCTTGAAGATTTAAAAAAAATGCTTGATTTTAGATTTTTTAATCAAAATATCTAAAATTAAGCATCTTCTCTTAAAGTTTCATGAAATATAAAATTAAATATACCAGCATAATGTATTTTGTATACTGAACAAG